TGCAAGTGCAACTAGAATCAGGGAAGTACGCTACAGCACAACTACAACTGGGTAAGGACGGCAAGGCAAGCGCACAATGCAGCACGTACAATGGTGCCGCTGTACAAACACTACACTACAGGTGCATCAGCTCCACTACAACTGTACAAAAGCACAATGCTGCAAGTGTAATGGTACAATTGTGCAGCTAAACCCGTACAAGCACACAATGCTCCCGGTGTAACTGTGCAACTACCACTGTGCACCACAACACTGCAAGGAAAATTGCACAGCTGTGCAAGCGCACTGTACTACACGTGCAACCATATGAGCACCATACGCTGCAAATGCAATGGTGCAACTGCAAGCATGCAAGCACCTTTATGCTGAAAGTGCAACTGTGCAACAACCTGGCAAGCTCACAAGTATAACGACAGCCGTGCAAGCACACCCCACTGAAAGTGCAAGTGTGCAAACACAATATGCTACCAGTGTAACCACACTAGGCTCCAAGGGCACTGTGCAACTATAGATGTGCAAGCACAATACACTGCAACTGCCTTAAGCCCATTGCTTTGCAGTAGACGCGTTCGTGTCCAGTCCTTGTGCCCTGGCTGTGACTCTCTCAGCTGACCTACTAACAACAGGCAGGCTGGTGTCCACACAACAGCCTTTTCCACCTGCCTTGTCCTTGCTGCCGGAGTTTGTCCCAGTGCATTCTGGGAAACTCTGGGCTGCGCTTGAGAATTACTTGCTAGTTACCGGGATCTGAACTGGCCCCATTTGAGTCTGTCAGGGATGCACTCTGGTCCCTGTATGTTGAAACTGTCACAGCTGCCTGTAGTGATAAGGACTCAAAATACAGAGAAATCATAAATAACCCCCGGCCCATGTAGTACAGATCTTCCCCCAGATACAGCAAACACTAAATGTACAGCACTGGCTAGTTTTGGCCTCTCGGCCTGGGCTGTCCCATGCTGTGTTGGTTGTTCACACACTATGGAAGTGCGGGGTGGGGACTCGGCGACCAGTTTATTTAATAAAACAAACTCTTCCCTTCCATCCGCACAGAGGAGCAGACAGGGCTGGAGCCATCCCTGCATCTCGCTGGGGGATAAGGGGGCAGGACAATGGGCTGATCAAAGGGATGATTTGCAGTGGGGTCTAGAGGTCAGAGCAGAGGGGCTAGGAGTCAGGACTCCTGGGTTCTGTTATGACCCCATTCTCCTTCCAGAGCTGGGAATAGAACCCAGGAGTCCTGACACCCAGCACACCCTCCCCCCACCCTTCTAACCCAGCAGACCCCCTACGTCATTTGCACCAGAAACGTAGAAGATGCTGGACAAAATGAGACCCTGCTCCGGGCGGGTAGATAGATCCAATTTGTGGCTCTGATTTCCCAAGACTGCGTCCCCCCGGCCCGTTTGTGGGATGCCCTGTTTCCCCGCCCCCCCAGCTCCTGGCAGGAGCTGCCCATGCGGCACAGACACGGGCTGAGCACGGGTGCCAGAGGAAGGAGCCGGCCCACGCTCCAGCACAATAGTGGCGTTGCCCAGAGCCAGCGTCAGGGTGTCCGAGTGCTGCACTGCGGCCGGCCCAGGGCCACCACTTCCCCAGAACGACAACAGGAGCCCACGAGTGAGGAGGGCCCTGGTTTGTCGACGCTTTCACTTCTCTG